CATAAACATTAAAAGCGATAGAGACAAAGATAGAGAGGAAGAAAGTGATAGGGGTAAAAAGGAAATACAACTGAAGAATGTGCGATGTTATATTGTGATGTGTTATGCTACATATGTTATGTTATTGAATCTAATGATATTCTATGTTATGTTATGCTAAGTACTAAGCTAAACTCCCCTCCACTTAACCCATTCCAACAAATTTTATTTCAGCTCAACTCAACTCACATAAACTATCCTTAATTTTAGCGGTTGAATTTCAACCGCTGGGCGAACACTAGTTAAATTAAAAAAAAAAATCGGTTACGTCCCGCTGGCGGCTAGGGCTCGATATGTTTCAATCTAAATTTGAATAGCTAGTTTTTCCTGCCCGTTACCATACTATTTAATAAAAAAGTCATTATTCTTTTAATAGTCAACAACAGATTGCTTTCATTTTTTAGACGTGTAGCTTTCTTGGAAATAATGTGTCTCTTGTTCAATAGTTTAACTATCAAAGATTATTTCTTCCACGATCATTAAAACTATTTTTTGCATTTCGTTTCAACTCATGACTGAGAAAATTCGTTCAGCATTTAGTAATTACTTTTGATTTTTAATGATTTTTAGGAACTCACGAAAAGCAAATTAACTTCCAAATGCAAAGTCTCATTAATTCAGCCTTAACCAAATCTTGCTAAAACGCTCAAATTAAATAAGAAAAAAATGTTGTAATTTTTCACTTCTGAATTTCTGGTATTAACCAGTATTGGTTTACTAAAATTCTAGTTGCATACAGTGCAAATGCAACGAATTTGGTTGAGAGTTTCTTTTAAAAAAAACATCAGAATGTGTAAACAAATGTATGTAGTACATATATTTCTACTTGTTTAAAGTAAACTAAAAGCAAAATTGTATGCCTTCGTCCAGAATTCATTGGAACTTTATTGAGTTGTTTTCATTCGGGGATTTTCATTTCTTTAACGTACATTGCGTATTGCTGTGCTGTGCAATTCTGCGGGTTGGTGGTGGTGATGGCGGCAGTGACGGTGTGTACGAACTCTTTATTTTTGAAATTATGCATTTGGGAATAAATATTAGCTTTTCTTGCTATGCGGAATTCAGAGATTTCCATGTACGTATTTCAACTTGTTTATGCACGTATGTAGGCGAGTGCACAGTCCCTTTGGAATACGGTGCGTATGAGTGACTGCAGTGATTTCTGTGAAATTAAAACCCAGGGCAGTGGCTTGTGTTCACTTTAAATTCATGTGGGGCTATTAACGAAGTTTTTTTCAGTCCTATCGTACTATTAAAAATTTTTAAGTTTGTGTTTGCTCTTTCACACTAAAACGGCTGGACGTATTTTAATGAAATTTGGCGCACAGATATCTCTTGACTAACATATAGGATTTTTTTTAAATAAAATATATTATATATTATATATATATTAAAATAATTTTTTTTTTCAAAAGTTAAAATCAATTAATTAATAAGTGAAATTAAATATTACAACAATGTGGGTGTCTAAGGAAAGAGGTGTAATACTATTTTTTCGAAACGTTGCTCTAAGAGGGTTGCCAGCCGTCCAAAAAGTTAAAACAAATTCAAATAACAAGTTAAACGAAGTATTTTAACTAGGGTATCAAACAAGCGAGGTTTAAGACATTTTATTTCAAAAATATTTTTAAAGGGAGCTGGCTGCCAGCTATTTAAAAATCCAAAATCAATTTAAGTAACAAATAAAATAAAATATTTTAATATGAGTCTCAAACGAGAGAGGCATAAGGCGAGCTGTATATTAAAATAATTTTGACGAGGATTGCCACCAGTTTGAACTTTCAAAGTCAATTTAATTTACGAGTTAAATGAAGTATTTTGATATGGTTGTCAAAAGAGAGAGCTTTAAAAATGCTTTATTTTAAGAATATTTCGTAAAGGGTTGCACCTGTTCAAAAAGATATAATCCGGTTAACTAACACGTTAAACGAAATATTTTAATTTAGGTATCGAATAAAGAGGTTTAAGAAAGCTTTATTTCAATAAAGAAATCCGTTTAGAAATCCAAATTCAATTTAAGTATGAAGCTAAATAGAATATTCGAATATGGGTATCAGACGAGAAAGGTTTAAGGACAGCAATATCTTTGAGTTTGGAATTTCAAATCAATTTAATTGACAAGTTAGATGAAATCCAACGAATGCTATAAATTTCAGAGTTTGTGAGTGTGTGTTTATGTTCGTTACTCTTTCTGTGTATAATATTTGGCATAAGAATATCTTATGACCTGGATTAACATAGAGCATATTTTTAGAAAAGGGTTGCCACCTGCCAAAAAGTTAAATTATAAATTCAACATTATTTTAAAATAAGAAGTGAAAACGAATGAGTTTAAAAGTTCAATATTACAAAAATATTTTTAAGAGGATTGCCACCTTTTTGAAAAGTTAACTTTAATTTTATTCAAATTTTAAATTAAGTATTATAATATGGGTTGGCAACGAATAAGCTGTATGAAAGCTTTATTTTGAAAATATTATGAAGAGAGCTGCCACTTGTTTTAAAGTCAAGTTCCATTTTTTCATAAATAAAGTATTGCAATGTGGCTGTCAATCGAAAAGGGGGTAGGAAAGCTTCCTTTCAAAAATAATTCTAAAGAGGGTCGCCACCTGTTTAAAGGTAATTAATTTTAAACATTGACTTCAATGACCTTTTACAAGTGAAAGTAAAAAAAAATACAAAATATATGGGTTGCCAGCTGTTTAAATATTAAAGTTAATTTAAGAAAAATTTACAATATGGATGTCAAACGAAAGATTTCTAATAGATCTTTTTTAAGAAACAGAATGTGTAATCTGTTTAAAAAAATCAAATTAAATTTGTGTGAACATTTTAACAACAAAATATCTTTTGCCTGACAGCAAAGATTTTCCACCGTTTCCAAATTTCAATATATTTATTCTGTTTCAGCGAATTGAAATACATATTCCAACGAGATATTGATATGAAAAATAATTATAAAAATGCATACATATAGTACAAATATTAGCTATTAATGCAAGTTTAATTTTGTATTAAATTGGCCAATTTGGTTAAAATTTGACGCATTGACCATGTTCAGCTTCTTCGAGATAATTAGCAACATTTTTAAATAAACTTATTATTTTTGTATTAAAGTATTATTTTTTTTTTTACTTTTTTATTACATTTTGAAATCATAACATCACCATATTTTTAAATCATAATGTCACCAGGTAGAGCCGTGGACAAAAGCTAGTGTAGTGTACTTCGGTATACCATAAAAATTTTCAAGAAAAAAATTTAAAATTTTGTTGACCATAAAGCTTAGTTTGTGAAGTTTAACTAGAAACTATTTGAACTTAAAATACTTTGCACCATCACAATTACCCACACTCATTCACTTGCTGCCCTCCCCTTCAACGGAAATTGATAAATCTTTTTGTTATTAACATGCCTTTAAGCTGACAGTTATCAACGCGTGCAATGATAAGCATTAATTAATTTTCCACTTACTGCTTCGTTTAAGATTTCATTAATCATTCCTACACACATAAGCCCATACAATACAAAATTGCATAAACAAACAAACACACGTAAATGAACAATAAATGCTATAAATAACTTAACACACATGTACAAAGGTTTGTAAACACTTTAAATTAAAATGTGCATGGCAAATGTGCAAAACTTGAGCGTATAACTAAGTAGGTATGTATGTATATAATGGCGTGCAGTGCACGAAGGCCGCGTAGGAAGAGTGGATGGTAAGCGATGGGTTGGCAACTTAAGGTGTTTAAGTGTTGGAGCGTATTAAATTGCGAAAATGACTATTAATGACTGCGCCTTTCACCTATGTATATTTACTCATCTGCAACCGTTTAAGTAACTTTGTTGCAAGTGCATTTTCTCTGCTAGCAGATAATTTATTTTTCACGCTCACCACAAAAGCACCCACCTTCTGTTGATAAATATTGCGCTCTATCCCCCATTTTCACTTCAGTTCATCATGCAGTTTAGCACTACAATATATACATACATACATACATGCAAAATAAGAACTCACTGAGAACTCAGCTACGTCCTTTGCAGTTTTTACGTAATTGCTGATCTGTTGGCGATTAATCACACAAGCGTTCAAAGTAGCACAGCCTTTTGAAGCAACGCAAAATTGAAATTAAAATTATGAAATCTTTTATGATCGGATTAATGAAAATGAACACCATTTAAATTTAATCACAAAAAGTTTTAACTTATATTTTTATTGTAATTTAATTGTGGCAAATCTCAAAGAAAATCCATGTTTTTACTCTTTATAAAACCCAGATAACACAAAGAGTTTTATAATCGTATATTTACGCAAAACTGTAGAGAAAATATTCTACTATTTTCTATAAATTAGTATATAAAACCTTCATAAGATCAAAAGAGCCAAGAAGAAGGTCTTCGTAGTCCTAAATTTTGCTCTATTACACTGTAGGGAAAATTAAACCACCAAGACTAGAATGTGTTTTTGGATTTGTTTATGTGATGTTAGGAGAGCGCATATGAAAGGTTCCATACCTTCACTCGGAGACACAGCTGTCCACTGTGAATATGCCCTGTGAGTGAACGCCAGGACGTGGTGAATTCCCTTAACCAGCACTCGAGTAACAAAGAGAAAAAAATAATAATAATTCACGCATTTTCCTGCTGAATTATTTCATTTTCCAAACTAACTTGAAGAGGTCAAGAAGCGTGATCGCAGATGCTTCAGCCACCCCGACTGCCGGCCCGTACATCAGCACAGTAAATTTAATTCCATCTCATTCTAAGAGCAATGTATCCTATGAAGACCCCGCAAAGAGTGGCGTTGAGATAGCCCAGTGTTGCTAACGCACCACGACATTTCCGTACAGATCGTACTTTCAGTCCTTTTGGTTTTATTTCTTTTAAATTAGTGGCGACGAAAATAGTGGCTTTTGCGATTGCATTTGAAAATGGAACTATTCTGTCAAAACTAGGAGACAGCACCATTACAAATTATGTGACCAGGGCACCGGTTGTCAAGTCATAGATTATGCTGACGACATAGCAATCGCAGCAACGGGCAAACATCTGCAAGTCCTGAGTGAATTATTGCAAAATGCACTCAGTCTTGTAAACGTCTGGTTCAAGGAATGTGGACTTAGCGTCAATCCTACCAAGCCCGAGAGGTACTTTTCAAAAGTAAGTGCAAAACTCTTCTATTCAAGCCTGCTACCCTGAACGTGGTGGCACTTACTTTCTCAACCGAGGCTAAATACCTTGGAGTTATTCTACTCAGACTAAAGGCTGAACTCATCGAGGAGTTAAATACCAGCTGGGCTGTGGAAACCACCTGCCATACTATCAGGCAAATTTAGTCAAAGATTGATGTAAGGCGCTTCATAGCTCTCACTCTGCTGAACCGTGTCTCAGATTACTAGTCGAGGTAATCACCGGGCACTGCTTGATGGGCGCACACGGAAATAGGTTATGATACCCCACCAACGATTTTTGTCGCAGTTGCAAAGACGAGGAAGATGTGGAGAGCATCGAACATTATCTCTGCCATTGTCACGCCGTGGCCAACATGCGAAACTAATTCTTCAACAGGTACATTCTAGATTGTTGTCCGTCACTCTAGCCTAATCTAACCATAGTACACTCGATTTCTCTGAGATATCAAATTTCATCACGCCGAGCTCAGCGATTTTTTGTTTCTTTAGCAGATATCAGTTAAATTGTTTTCAACTATCAAGTATTTAAGATCGAATACTAGGTAAAGATTCCTCTTTAGGTATCAAACTTAATTATTTTTCTTAACAGTACTCCTCTCGATTGAACTAAATTATATTTTTGGACATTTGAGAAGTCCCTCGCCTTGATTAGGAGGCCGACCGTTCATTTATAAATATGTAAATATCCATAAGTGTATATACATATCTTTGTAGTCTAAATTACTTAAACTTTTATTTAAAAAAAAAGTTTAAACCGAACTCTTTAATAGGCGGCATACACGGTGCGTCTGACTCGCGAGTCATTTGTGTACGTTTTGACTCGCCTTCGACTACACACAGCCGAATCATTCGCAGTCTACCGGGAGTCATGTTGGTGACACAAGCCAAACGCACGGTGTATGCCGCCTATAAAAACCTTTAATATTGACATTATAATGTATGTATTTTTAATTCTAATCTTTTAGGGATAATAGATGCGCCCACAAAGACGAATTCGGCACACAGCGTGTCTACAAGAAGACCTCACCAAATTGTGTGCTTACCCTGTATTTACCATCACGTGAGATTACACTCTCCGGCAATAATCCAGCTATACTACGTGGAATAATCTATGTGGATCCAAAAGCGATACAAGGTTACCGAGTTTATGCACAGTTAACTTTGACATTTCGGTGAGTGTTGACTAAAATATGCTAAGTGAACATAATGCATGTACAAATATAAGTAAGCAATTCAAAAATATGTAAAACCTTTATGCTTTCAGCTAGAAACTTAAAATTCCAGTTTATTTTTTGGCTGTGATTAATTCCAGAGACAGCGTGGGAACATGATGGAGCGTATGAACGCATTTTGGTTCAATTTTTGGTTTGGTTTTGCGTCCCTTTTATATTATGGCTGTTTTACCTCCATACCATTTCTTAAAAAAAAAAAAAAAAAAAGAAGAATCATTATTCCGAACTTTGCTCTCATATTTCTAATAGCTGAACAGATTTGAATCGTGAGGAAATATTATCTCAATTAAGCCCTGATCTATAAATAGAATAAACTAAGTTAATATTTATTTACGGAAATATTCCTTCAAGATGACGAGATTCACGGAAATAACTAAAAATAGCGTTTAAACACAAAAAAATACTTTAATAAAACATATTTTTAGTGGCCTATTTTTAGGCGGGTTTTGTCATCTCGTGGGAGTAATAAGCTCAATTTTCGAATAGCAGCTTTGCACATTTTTATGGCTTTTCGGGACTATTCCAAATTTTTCCAATTTATTTATTATTTTTTTTTTTTTGAAACCTTCGCGTTTTTCTGAACTTTTCGGGGTTTCCACGTAACAATTTTCGGGATTTCTAAGAAGCCTCTGGGACCTTTTCGGAACTTTAAGGATTTTTAAGGATTTTCCTTATGTTATTTTTTTAATATTTTCTGAATTTTTCGGGACATTTCAAGATTGTAAAACATGTTTCCCTCATTTTTTGAGCCTTACTTCATTTTTTATAACTAATGTAAATCAAGAAACACAGATTAGTTTTACTTTTGGATCTTAGAAGCTTTTCAATAGTTTCAAGGTGTTCTTGAAAAGGAAAAAAAATTTCTGTATACTTGACAAAAAAAAAATACAAAATTTTGTATGTCAGATTCACGCAGTATACGACATTTGGCAAAAACGCAAATAAAAAACTATTCTGAGTAGCTTTTCGATAGTTCTAGAATTCTTGAGAAGGAAAAAGAAATTACTGCAAAATTACGCCGATAAAAACATTTTTTTTTTTTCAAAAATGTCGCAAAAGTTAAATAAAGAAAAAATTAAAACTTCTGAGTAGCTTTTCAATAGTTCTAAAATTCGTGAGAAAAAAAAGAAATTACTGCGAAACTACGCTAAAAACGACATTTTTTTCAAAAAAATCGACAAGGTTGCTTTTTGAAAAAAAATAAATAAAACTGTTCTGAATAGCTTTTTAATAGTTCTAGTATTCCTGAAAAGTTACAATTCTTATATTTTTGAATAGAACTTTTCAACTTTTTTGTAAATATGCTTTTTTTTACAATCTTTTATTTAACTTGCACTGTATGTATGTATGTAAGTATGTTTGTTAAGAGCAAATCTTGCAATCAATTTTTAACCAACTTCTCTATGACCTAGAGACTTGAAATTTCACAGTTGGCTCAGAACCCGACGACAATGCAATACGAATGTTGAGTTTATCCGATAGGTGGCGCTGGAGCCGCCGAGATATTTGAAAAACCCATCCTTACAGTCCGATTTGGTTCATATTTAAAAACGTATATTAACTACATGAAAAGGAACTCCATTAAAAATGTTGTCGATAGGTTGCGCACATTTCGATATATTCAGTAACCAGTATTTATGGTCCAATTTCGTTCATATTTAGAAAGCTTGCTCTAAAAAAATATTCGTTTTTACTATTAACTTATTTCTCTTCAGGAACTCTACTTCTATTGAAAAGATACTCAGAAAAGTTTTAAATTTTTTTTTTAATTTAACATTTTCGACTTTTTTGAAAGAAATGATTTTTTCGATATAATTTTGCCGAACTTTCCTTTTCAGTAACTCTAGAACTATTGAAAAGCTATTCAGATCAGTTTTAATTTTTTATTTTTTCAAACAGTAAGCTTTATCGGCTTTTCTGAAAAAAATGATTTTTTTTTTCGGTGTAATTTTGCAGAACTATAATGGGCGCACCTTTTTTAGTATAGTAACGTCTATAGACGATAGAACATATGACTAAATCAGAATCGTGCTGACGCTACTTGAACTACTCGCTTTTAATATTGCTTCTGCAATTTTTCTTTTATAATTTACATACAAACCCTTTTCAGTTTAACGAAATCCTTCATTTAGAATTCATTAAATCAATAAAAAAAAATGTCACTTTAAGCTGCATATGAATGCAAACTTGATGCAAATCCAATTTACATACATGAAATTTCATTTTCCCTCGCTGCTTGATACCAAAATATTTGTTTAGTGAATACGTATGTGTGTATGTATGTGTATGTTTCTATTTGTGTGTATGCTCATATATTATTAACAGTTTTCTTTTAACCTCCGATCTTCTCCCTCCTCAATCATCTTAATAACATTTTCCATGTATACATATATGTATGTATGTATGCACATCACGTCAAAGTCTTCTTGCATTGCTGCTGCTCCATCATTCTCAATTAAATAACTCACAAATTGTTTATCTTCTTTCTTTTCAATCAATTTTACAATAGCTATGGCCGCGAGGATGAAGAAGTGATGGGTTTACGTTTCTGCAATGAGGCCATCATGTCGCTGCATCAAGTTTGGCCCAGGAATGAAGAGCCGGCGCTTGAGTCGCTTAGTCCACTGCAGGTGAGTGCGCTACCAAGGCTCACACACATTTTTATGTACATACATATGGGTAAATCCATGTCAAATTAACCAATGTTTGCACTCGACCAGTTTGGATTTGTATGAATTTTAGTCAGAACCTTTCCTTTATCATATAATGAAGCTCTGAAAAAGAAAAAATTAAAAAAAAAAAATATTTTAATTTCACAATTTCCGGGATTTTGAAAGTTTATTCTTTGGATATCTAAAAACTCGTATAGCTATAAAATCTGTTCTGCTCTCGCCTGATATTTAAATAAAATTAAAATATTCCAAAAAATAACCAAAATTTGAAACTAAAACAGCGTTGAAGCAGAAATTTATAAATATTTTTGGCCCAAAATGCTGAAATTTTCAAGGAATTTTTGAACTTCGAGAAAATTTTTTTTGTAATTTTTATATAACGGTATGTTAAAAAATTTTATTTGACTTAAATGCATTTTAATTTAGAGTTTGCAAAAAAACAATCTACCTCTAAAATTGTTTAAAACAACCCTTCAAATTTCAGGATATTTAAAAATCATTTGGAAGTATTGTATAAAAAAATTTAGCAAAAATGTATAAAAATCTTGTTTTTTAAATACTGAAATTTTTTATGATTTTTTTTTTATAGCACCGAATATCACCTTTACAACGAGACCAGAACCATTTTTGTAACTAAATACAATCTCCTACGAAAAAAAAAATTAAAATTCGTTTCTTTTATATAGCATAACTTTGACGTTTTAATTTTTTCCCCTTAGGCAGAACTTCGTTATTCCAAATCAAAAATGGTCGACTTGACATGGATTGACCCGTATACCTTTCGCTGGTTGTTAAGTAAATTTTTACGTCAATAAGTTTTATGGTTTTCCTTTGTTCTGATTTTTCTCGACCTTCGTGCTGCATAAATTCATATCGAATTCGCATTTAATATGCAGATTTTCAGTTTTTTTTTTTCAAATTGTTTTGTCACGAATACTGAGTCACTTGTAATTTATAAGGCAGTCAGTGTAGTAGCTTTGTTCTTCTGTTGTAATTTATTATTCCGTTTTTTATATTAAACAATTTTCATTTAGCTACTGCTGATTCGCACGTCGTCTTATGGATTTATATGAACTATGCGAAAATATTTAGTCATTTTAGCAGTATAACTTTTGGCGTCCTTAGCACTGGAACTCAGTTCACAGATATTTCCTATGGCGAGCATTTTTTTGCTTCTTCCTAAAGGTCCCGATTTTTTTAGAATCACCTCACGTCTTACTTAGGTGCCAATGATTTTACAGCCTTTTGCCTTACCGATATCCACTCGGACTTCGCAGCTAATAAATTTGCTTCGGATCATTAACCCCCGCCTGACTTTATGGTTGGACAGGTCCTAGGTTTTCGTTCAGCAAGAACTCAGCTTATATTTTTCGGCTGATTTGTCTAAGAGGATATCAACTACTCCAACTCTCCCCTTACTTTTTAAGGAATACCCTTCATAATCAACTCATAGCCTTAAGGACTAGTAGGAAATTTTTCGACGCCACTAATTCTTCTTACCAAGCATATTCTTACTAATTTTGAAGGCAGTCTGATTAATTCGAACCCTTTACTGCCGCTTATAGCTAACAGAGTCTCCATATTTACATAACGCATTTGAGCAACCAATTGACTGCTGTTTTGTTAATGGCAGCTGCCTCTTTTTGGAGAAAAACGCTTCCGTAGAAATGTCTAATGTGCCTCACTTTCAGCAACTTCTTCCAACTCATTCATTATTGAAAGTAAATGAGTGCAGAAAGAGCTGCCTGGGTGCAGGCTTGGTAGGAAGTACGGTAATGGATTTCGCTGATTACCATGGCTTTCCATATTTATTTAAGTATTTCATAAAATTTCCGCCGAAAACCTGCTGAAATGTAACAGAGACAGTAAGCAACAAAAACGTAAGAAACGAACATAAAAGGGGAAGCAATCAAAATCATGAATGATTATTTTATGAGCTTCTTTGTAAAAGCGCAGTCAGGTGAGTAGGCTTCTCTAAAAGCAACAGCTTCAAGTCGTCAACACCTACGTGGACAAGACGCCGCACAGTGCCGCCTAAGTGGGCAAATATCGAAAAATTCGTTGTCTGCAATGTGAACTTGTTTGATATTTTTGTAAAGGTAATTTATCCACTAAAAAGAATTAAACAGAAATTTCCCTTTGAAATAAATGATATGGCGCCAAGAAGCCACTAAAATCAACAAATCTTGTACTAAGAGTTTTAATCAGAGCATAGCCATGCGAAAGCTCATCATGGAAATAAATGTCAAAAATAGATTCTTTGAAATAAAATGTTGGTGTAACGTTTTTCATTTATATATATATATATAGCAGAGAAGTAGAAGAATAAAAATTTTTAAATAAAATAAAACACAGAGTTGCCCTACGGTATTCCATAAAAACAATTTTTTTTAATCAAAATTTCCAAAATTGGTAATTTTTAATGGAATGAAAAAAAATATATATAAAAATATGTTATTTTTTATTATTTTATTTAATAGTAAAGGTTTTAGCTGTCGAAGGAGAAAATTAAAACCTGCTTATTTTTTGCACTTTTTGAAGTAACGCGTTTTTACTATTGCATAAAATCATTTTTTTATCAGCGCTATCAGATCAGATTCATGATTCCTTCGGTTTTCCAAAACGAGGTGTCAAATTAAAAAGCTTGACCCGTAGTTAAAAAGTTTATTTTTTTTTAAGAGTTGCGACCTGTTAAAAAAATAAATTCAAATTATTTAACGAGTTAAATTGCTAAAAGTTGAGTATCATTCGAAATGGGTATACTTCTTAATTTCATTTAGGGGAGTTGCCACCAATTTAAAAAATAAATTCCATTTGAATTAAAGGAGTTAGGTAGTTGAAACGGATAGGTATCACCATATGGGAGTCAGACGAAAGAGGTTTTAGCTTGAAAATATATTGAAGTGGATTGCCACCTGTTTGTGAAGTCAAATTTAATTTAATTAAAATAATATTTGTGTCAAACGAAATGTTTACCATATGTAAATACACACATTGCCAATCTATGATTTGTTCTGTTTACATTCCTTTTAAATAACTGAGGGTCAATTCCCGTTCTGCGTTATCTTGAAGTGAAGTGAAAAGTATAACAAAAGTATTAACACCGAAATAAATGCAGTTTAAAAATGATATATTTATCACTTCGCAATAACGTAAAATGGGAATTGACCCTCTGCACTCTTAAATTAACTTTAAAGTTTCAGAATGTTTTTACTCCTCACTTATTTTTGGGTAAATATGTGCTTGTGTAAAATTTTTGTCTTTTGTCTGATACACATATGTCAGTTACCTAATTCCCTCGATTAAACTGAACTAGATTTTTTAAAGAGGTGGTAACCCTTTTACGTGTAATTTTGAAGTAAAGCACTTTCAACCCCATTTCGATTGATACCCGTATTGTGATATCTAATTAATTAAACATATTAAATAATTTTAATGCAATTTTTAACAGGTGGCAACCCTTTCCCGAAAAATAAAACTTAAATGCATATCTACAGGCCAAGCCTTGTAATTTGGCAGCTCACTTTTGAAAATAGAACGAACTACATATAAGTATCTACATATCTATTTATATATAAATGCAATAAGAACCCAAATTTTCAACTACAAACTACATTTTCGGTGAAAGTACGAAAGTTATCGAAAACCAAATTGCAGTTTTGAAGTCAACGTCCACAAATTCACTAAGAAATAAATTTTCATAAAAATCCGTCCATAATTCTATTTTTGCCCACATTTTAGATGGGAGGGAAGCACTGTGCATCGTATTGGAATCGAAAAGACTTCCTTCTAACAAAAATTTCCGCGAATTTCCTTCATAAATTTTAATGTGGTACGAGAGTTAAGGCAGCACGCAAAGAAGGCGTAAAAGCTATGCCAACAATTCCAACAGTAACTTCTTCTGAGTGGATGTTTACGTCTGCGGTATATATGTATGTATGTACATTATGGTGGTATACAATTATTGAAAATCTATATTATTCGATCGGAAAACTCTGTTACTCTTCAGGAGATTCCCAATAATAATACCAAATTATTTATTTAACCATTTTTTTATAGTAACAGTATTTTATTGGTCTCCCAGAAAACGCAAAAAATGCAATGGGCGGATAAATAAAACATCTTTAATATTGAATAATAGTTAAATAAACAATTGGGTATTGTTGCTGGAGCTCTAAATATTTTTTTGATTTCAAAATAAAAAATAAGGGTATATTTTTTCGATATAGAATAATCCTAGGGCATTAAAATTCCGCCTTCACTTATTTTGGACCACCCTAATGTACATACATACGTATAATACGTACTTATACAGTTGAAGACATTAATATGCCTTCTGTCAAACTAAAATGCATATTTTGCTAATTAGTTATTTCGTTGAAGCTTTCCAAAATCAACAACGCTAACTCTTGATTTGCGCAGCTAAGTGTCATTGAAATGCCATCTGTGTGTTAATGAATGAATCTATGAACTCGAGGCCAATAATAGATCGAGCTATGGTTGGATGGAGCTGCTTATTTATGTAAATAGGCGTTGTGCTTGCTTTGGGCTCTCATACATATACATGCACTTACTAATCTACATAATTATGAATGATTTGACTGCTTTTGAGATGGTGTATCAATGTCAGTATTATAAATATGGCTGTGTGTATACCCAGCCGACCAGCGGAGTCCGCAGGGTGCACGATTAGGACTCCCTGTACAGCGCGCTTATGCTCCTAGGGAGGCTCTAAAAAGAGTCCCAAAGGAGCATGTGGCAGACATACACACGGAGGTTTGCCATTGCCTGCCGAGGGGCGACCGCTGTTAAAAAAAAAACCTTTTCCCTATTGCGATGTTGCAGGAGTAGAACCCTGTCTCTGCGGAGTGGAAGCGCGTACTGCTTACCACTACAGCTTAACGGCATCCGCCTCTACACCCCAGCGGCCGCCTAAAAGTGGCGGTTTAACATAGTATTTTGTAAAAAAATAAAAAAATCTGAAATAATTAAAAAAAATATTAAAGACGTCCCACTCTGTGCTCGCTCTATTGAATTCTTTGTCAGAACCAGCAAATTTTCTATAAAATCCACTTGAGAAAATCTAAAGTTAGCAAGAAATAATTTTTTATACATTACTGCTTACCTCTAATTGCATTCGCAACTGTCATCCCGTCAACAGCTTTTTATTTTAGTCTCCCTATCCAGCAACATTCGGAAGTGGCGACCCCTTTCTTGATTGAAAATTTCATTTTCATCTAACAGACTAGATGCAAGTAAAATGAAACAGCATACAAAAACAGTTTGACTCCCTTTTCACTCTATATTCGGAGCATTCCCAAAACGCAACTACCAGGTGTTGCTCTGGGAATCCCTTTTCACTCCATATTCGGAGCGCTCCACATTTGGCTGGCTGGGTATGCCACAGCCGCCATTTATATGTATGTATGTAGCTGTAAGTGATAGGCAATTAATTATGATTCGAGGCGCCTTTGGGTTTTGGGGGAGCTGTAATTGAGATCTACTTGGAATGTCTAGCGCATACTATTTAATTCATATTCTTGTGCGAATTATTTTATTAATATAACTGTTAATGTACTTTAAAATATTTTCCCAGACGTTATAAAATGTTATAGTGGCGTGGGTGTTCTCAGTTCAATGAGTGTCTTATTTCACAACCGTCAAATGATTTCGAACGTCATTGAGGTCATTAAATCATTAAATACAGTAAATCTTGAATGGAAATTTTTCATGAATTGGTTTCGTAATAAACTTCGATTATTATCTATTGTTGATTTCCGCTATCTCCGCAAGGTCTTATAGTGCTCCGAGTGTCTGTAGTCCTCTTCTGCTGAGCGCTGGGCATTCGCATAAAACGTGTTGCACACCCTCCTCTTCTTCTTCACATCACTACCAAGCTGGAGGCATGTGCGCCGATTAGATATTGACCTCCAAGAATTCTTGTGAGAAAGATATCTCGGTTCGTTTTAATCTAAGAGAACAGACGTGCGTTTTTTATTGTAAGAAGGCCACGCAAGGCTAGGAGTTTCACAGAAAGACAGATTTCTCCAGCGTTCGTTTGCTGCTTGTTTGGTGCTGTTCCTAACTTGAAGTTTAAAAGTAGCCATTGGTATACTTACCAAGTTCTTCTCCTCTTCTGGTGGAACTCACTTGAGAAGGCTACACTAGCTAATTAGCTGGAGCGCGTACAACGGGCTACTTTAATCGGTATTACTGGGGCACTGCGGACCATCCCATATTAGCACTGAACGTGGTGGCTGACGACGTTTCAGGCAAAATTTCCGCGGCTATTAGACTCAGGGAAACCGTTTGGTTGACCGATTTAATGACTGGACACTCTGGTGTTCTAAGGGGCTTCGATTTCTTCCCTGATTGCACATATTACTGCGGCACCGAAATGGTTCCTAGGATCTTCTGCTCTGCCTACTTTCCTTCAGGGGAAGACTGGCGGGGCGGAACTTCTAAAGAAGGGGAGCGGTGAACTTCCTCTTGGATATATAGACAATGGATGGCAGGGTTTGGAGGTGGGGTCTTCTGTTGAGACTGCTACGGATTGCTATGCCAGTCAGAGAGGTGAGCATTAATTCTGATCGCCAAGCGGCTATCAACGACTTAACGACGTTGAAGGTGCACTCTAACTTGGTTAAGGAATGTCTGCTCTCTCTGCATCGGAATACTTCTGCATTAGACTTATTTGGGTTCCGGGTTACAGCGACATTGCGGGGAACTGCGTGCTGAAGAATAGGCCAGGAAAGGCACTCGTGAAATGTTATCGCCAGATAAAGAGCAGCTGGGGGTGCCATTGATCACTTGTGGTACACTCTTTGAGAGATTGGCCTCATGTCAGCTCAGCGTGCACTGCCATTGATCACTTGTGGACCACTCTTTGATAGGTGGGCCTCATGTCAGCTCACCGTGCACTGGGCGAAAACCAGGACATGCGCGATTTCAAGGTACTTCTGGCCAAGGATGGAGAGAGCGCGGTCGAGGGCACTCCTCACACTCACAAAGCCGCAGCTCTCACTTATGGTGGCGGTTTAACGAGTCACTGTGCAATCGGTATTCACGCAGGAAGGCTGAACATAAAATAAATAACCTCAGTTGCCTAGATTAAATATTGGGTGCCGCTCATTGTCTTAGTGGTCCTCGGTTTCACGGGTTTGCCACCTAACCTAACCTTCCCCGGAAGGAAGGGGATGGTCGTACTATTCCTGCCCAATTCGTCGGATTTGCAGTTACCTTCCATATCCAGATGTACAGGCACCCATATGAGGTGTATTCTATAATTCTGAGCCATCCTGTTTAGAGATCTGCGGCATTCAGTGCGAGACTTTGTGTTGTCTATGCATAAGTGTCGCGCTCTCAGTGCTGCTTGACTATTAGATAAGATAAAGACTTGTATTTTTACTTTAGGTCTTCTTATTTGGTGCAGAGTGACCTACGGGATAGCCAGCACCTCTCGCTGGAATACACTACAGTGATACAAGCCGAAAATATAGTTATAGGTCCAGCTCCGGAGAAAAGACTCCACCCCCGACCTTTTTGTCGAGTTTGGAGCCATCAGTTTACAAGTTTATTGCATTGCTTATGCCTGGTGAGGCCTGGTATTCTAGTCCTTTCGAGTTGGTATGGTATTTTTACAGGGTTTGGTGAGGGTATGCAGTAATAGGTAATTGCAGGTAACGGTATGGCGCCCTTATCCCTGGGATTTTGGAGTGGCTAGATCATCTGTGGGTCCATAAACCTGCCTGTCTGTGTCATAAGGATATAATATCGGTTATTCCTCAAGCAATTGCACCAAGGGGCAAATGTAGAATCGCGTTAAGAGCTTCGCTAGGGGAGGCGTAAAGGGCTCCGCTAGATCCAGTATGCGTGCATAAGTTGAAACAGGGTGCCTAAGAACTTTCCCCTGGTAGGTATCTCTACTTAGTCTTGCCCCGGGTAGATGCGCTGTCTCACTGTACTGCAGCAATTCTGCCACTTTGCCAGGTTTAAGTAAACCAGACAAGGTCGATTTTGGTGTTCAGTTTGTCTATAAAGTTTACGCTTGACTCAGGGAAAGGAAAATGAAGCGACCTAAACCAATTGTATGATACCACATTGGAATTTTTTTAATTGAAATTTTATTTTGTTGTCCTTCTTTCTTAATATTTACAAAATACCTTGCATTCATAACACTTTCACAAAGAAATTTGTGCTTTCATTTAACTAAAACATTTAATTGAAGTTCTTCTTCTATTATTTGCTTCCCTACCATTGTGAAATATTCTTCATTAACACAAATTTGTTATACTCGGTGCTATTCATCTTACCTTTTACTTCATTGCAGGAAGCCTTAGTGAAACGTCTGGGCGATGGTGCGCACCCATTCACGCTCACCTTAACGCCACAAGCGCCACCCAGCGTACAATTAGTGCCGGCAAAACGCTACTATGGCGCACCAATCGGCACCAGCTACGATGTGCGCTGTTTCATAGGTAAGTAGTGGGGTGAAAAGTTGTAACTGAGCAGGAAATGAATGATGCTTGAAATGCAAAAATGAAAAAACTGAAAAGTTAAAATTTTGAATGCGCTGAGTGGGCAGGAAGGCAAGTGCGAATGGTATGCTTTGAATGCAAAATGCGAGTGGTTGCTGGCAACTAAGGAAATTTTAACAATAATAATGATAATTGAAAACATTTGCGGCGAAAGCAATTCAAGGAAACTATGAGCAATTAAAATGCGCACTGCGAAAATGAAAAATTAACTAAAGTAAAAATAATTAAACCCCGTGGAAACAATTCAGTTATAACAAGCAGGCATATGTACGTACATATATTCTTTGTGCAAAATTCTAATCACATTAAGAATGCGCACTGTAAAGTAAGTGTATCAAAGGGTTCGATCCTTGCGAGTTACAATTGGAAAAAAAAAATTATTAGGTAGCGCGCCACTGGACGTATGAGCAACTTTTGCTAAATATTTTCTTTTTACTCATACCCCTTTTGAATTAGCACCCACATTTGCCTGTGAGTCTCTACATATGCTTCCTATATAAGTTCTACCTACGCGCAATTTCATTAAACCGGAAATTGAATATCCTGCACGCCGATATCGCGTTACTCAACTCTATTCAGTTATTCGCCACGAACACTTTCGCAACAGCTGCGCGTATATAACGGAAATCCGTTTAACTGCGGTATTCACATATCTAAGCAAATACTCTTTATACGCTTAGAAATGCGTACGTATGTATATAAGTATGTGGTATGAAGTGTTACCGTCATTTTGTTATCACTGGAATTTGTTCGCTTCGTCGCGAGTCGCGCAAATAGTTGCTGAGCTTTGCGGCAATTGCTTGCCTTTGTAGTGCGAAAATGCAATAATAAACATTAAAGTGTCCAGGCTAGCAACGCCGTTGATTGCTTTTTTAAATTAGCTTCAATATTTTCATTTTAAATGCACTCTGCTGGATAAATTTTTTGACTTTGAAAATTCTAATTTGTCATTTGTCCAAATGACTTAGGAAAAGTGGTTCCTTAAAATTAAATTTATGACATTCCTTAGATGACAGATGACGCATGACATATGACAGGCAAACAAAGACAAATGGAAAATACGAAGTATGTGGGTAATAATTTTGAGTACTTGAATTGGTACTACATACCAAACAAAATTTAAGGGCGAAAAAAAATGACTCCTATTATTAAAAATTTTACCCAATTGTTGCTTCCATACAAAATTTAACAAATAATAGTTTACGCGTGACACACGACAAATACCTGAAAGGCACCTAAAAATAGGTTAAGAAAAACCTGTCGTTACTTCAAGGTGATGAAAATAAGTTCTTACAAACCGAGTTCAGGATGTGACAGTGGACTGCTGACACATGGCAGGCTTTCTAACTTAACATGTCGTTTAACTCATATGTATGTAAGGTGGAACATTATTTACCGGAAAATCCCCTGCTTTTAAATTAAAACTTGACTGAAATTTGTATATCTTTCAAGGGTTTTCGAAGACTTTTACGGGACTAGGAATTGGCCCGACACCTTCCAGTTTGTCGATAAATTTCGATAATTTGATACATATCGATAACTCAATAAATTTCAAAAGCACTAAAATCCGATAACTCATAAAAAAAAATCGATAGATCGACTACTTTTGATGGCTCGATAAATTTCGAGAACACAAAAATGTACATATCTCGATATAAATCGATAACTCGATAAACTTTGGATGCCTATATAAATATAGCTCATATTTTGTAATGCTATCGACAAATTTACACTATGGTAACACCATAAATTCTGATAAGTAGTGATAAATTGATAAATTTATATATTTGAAAATTCCAAAAACTTCGATTCAATAAATCGACGAATTTCAGTAAATAAATAAATATCGCTTACTGTATAATTTGAAAGAAGTCGATGCATTACGATTATTCGATAAACTTCGTTAACTCTATAAATATTGATAGTTCAACAAATATCAATAACTTCAAAAATTCTATTAACTGGACAAATTTCGATAAAATGAATTTTTATAGTTCGTTAAATTCGTAAATTTTGACCACTCTTTTTCTGTGTCTATAAATTTCAACAACTCAAAAAGGATTAATCCATTGTCGATAATAATGCGATATGTTGGGACAACTCAATACACATGGATAACTCGATAAATTTCGATAACTATAAGATTAGATGATTCGATGAATTTCAGTAACTTAATAACTTTCAAAAAATAAATTGTTTATAACTAAATTTATTTTGATTCCCATTGAAAATTTTCAATAAATTCTCTTAACCTTTCAGCTACCCTAATTTTTGTTTATTTCTTATTGTTTTCATTCTTCAAATTTTCCTTAGGTTTTTTGTCTTAATCGTTATCATTTATTTCTTCATCATCACATGTATCTTCATTACAAAGTCAAACCCGAAGTGAAACAAAATGGGAAATTCACTCAAATTAAACAGGTTGCAACAAATGCACGTATTAAATTGGATTAAAATTGACAAAAATTCAATAAAAATTTTCAATTCTAAGCAAGATTGAAACCTATGACAGATAGTCAATATAAAATTACAATAGTTAAAATCGATAGAAATTTTACTTTTTTATACCAATGACAGCTGACACATGACTGCTAAGCAACTACAAACAACAGTTAAAACAGCTGTCGAATTAGTTCTTCCTAACCAAATCTAATGAGAACTAAAATCCAAATTTAACACATGACAAATGACAGCGAAAAATACCAGAGTGGTTCAAGAAATAAATTTGTTAAATTTAAACTTTTGGTTATTGGCTATTTTAAATTAAATTTAGCATATAATTGCTGACAACTGACACATGACACATGATAGAAGAACAGGTAATTGAGGTTGACTTACATACCCAATTTTGAAGAAGAGCGGTGACATATAACAAACTGCATACGAAAAATTATAAGCAGCGGAAAAATGGGAAGCAGGTTTCTTATATTTTATAAGAAGAGTGAGAGGCCTGTAACCCAACATAAAATACGTTCCTTTAAAAAAAAAAAAGTAAGTCAAATACAGCTAACGACTGCAATATGTAGTTTTTGCTCTCTTTTGGCTTCACGCAGCATCGCCTTTAAGTGGTATCTCGAGAAACAAATACCCCTAACCATATAAAGCTCAAATCTGACCAATTAAACAGTACTGGGTTTCGAACGAAATTTAGGCAAAACTGTGTAATAAACATTTTTTTTAATATTAGCACATCAGCACAAATGAAAAAAGGTACATATACATTTTAAAAAAATGAATTTTTAAATTTGATAAACATCTTTGTTTTAATATTTAAACGATGGTATTCTCGTGCGATTATACATATTTTCAATAAATCCACAGAAATGAGCAAATATTGAATTTCTTGGTCGAATCATTTCACTAAATCCACATTGATTGTGTTCAATAGCAAAAATGTATGTGCAAACATACAGACATTTCTCACGGACTGAAATGGAATAATACAAAAAATTTATTTAACTACATAAAGCCAATCTCAACTGTTCCAACCGCAGCATGCTTTGGCCTTTCCGCAGTGCTCTGGAATGTTCAGACACCAACAACCCAATCAAATACAAAAATTCAATTGCATCAGAGCAACGAAAATTTTATTAAATTCCGATTTAAATATGCAGCTATGCACACTGCCGCCGATATTTACTTATTCAAATCAAACGCCAAGTGAAAAAAAAAAAATAATCCTCAAAGAGCAGCAGATTGGACTGGAATTTAAACAAGAAGGAAAAGTAGAAAATATGCAGAATCCTTTAGCAGGCAATGAAACAATAGAATAATCGAAAATGACCAAGCTCAGTAAGTAGCTTAACTTGGTTGAAATATGAAGCGTTGCTGAGGATGAAAAAGTCGGAAAAATAGAAAAAACTATTGGTAAGCGAATCAAAGAAATTATGATTTCAATCTAAGACGCCTTTGATGTCAAAAGGAATACGAATACAAATGCGATAGGAATACGAATATGAATATGGATATGAATATGAATATGAATATGAAAATGAACATGAATATGAATTTGGTATGGATATGAATATGAATACTGAATATAGATATGAATATCAGAATGAATATGAATGTGAATTTGAATATGATATGGACATTTATATAGATGTGAATATGAGTATGAATATGAATATGAATTTTGAATATGAAATTAAATGTGAATATGAATACAAATGTGATATATGGGAATATGGATATGAATATGATATGAGTATCAATCAATAAATAATAAATAATAAAATGACTATATATATGAATGTGAATATAAACATGAATATGAATTTGAACATGAATATACATATGAACATGAATATTAATATGAATACTGAATATTGATACGAATATGAGTATGAATACGATTATGAGTATGAATATAAATATTAGTATGAATACTGAAAATAAATATAAATACTAAATATACAGGCAGGTTCTGCAATTCACTTCCGGGTGTATTTAAACCCCTGCCAAATTGGCAGGGATTTCATTGAAATTGACTCGGGAGTGAATTGCAGAGCATGCCTGATAGATGCGAATATGAGTATGAATATGAATATGAGTATGAATATGAATATGAGTATGAATTTGAATATTAGTATGAATACTGAGTATGAATATAAGTATGAATATGAATATTAATATGAATATTAATACGAATATCAATACAAATGTGAAAATGATTATGAATATAAATATGGATATGAATATGAATATGAATATGAATATGAATATTAATATGAATATGAATATGAGTACGAGTATAAATATGTATAAGAACATGAGTACGAGTACTGAATAAGAATATGGGTATGAATATGAATAGCGAATATGTGAATATGAAAATGAATACGAACACGAACACGAATGCGAATATGCATGCGAAAGCATTGCGAGTAAGAATTTGATAATATATAAATAATAATATTGAATGACAGTGATAAGGACTCAAGTTGCACACTGGTGTAAAACTTGGTGTAAATTTACGAATTTTGGTATAAATCAAATTTACTCCAAGTTATACACCAGTGTGCTAGTTACTTGAGGGGATCCATAATACTCGTAGATTACGTTGTGTTGGGAGGCCGAGCCCCACGAAGAGATGTTGTTTATAGCTACCAGGTGCTCACTCTTAAAATTTATTTGTTAGTGAGGATGGATAATCAGGCGTTTAAAACTGAGTATAGTGAAAGCAAAGTAGATGAGAAGGAAATACTAAGCTACGGCAAGAGCGGTCCGAACCAATATTCAGTCGTAAGGCATGGGTTCCTTATAAAAAAGTACCCGATTAAGGCATCTGTCGGCAATGACATTTGGCTCTCAGCCGGTTCGGGAAACTCCTCAACTGCCGTACACAAAGACTTTCCAGGTCACGGCTTCCGCACAACGCTCGCTGAGGCAACTACAAATAATATCACAGGAGCTAAATCATCTGCCATGCCGTTTCCAGAAAAGGTACTACGCCCTGGGTCCTAAATCAAACGGACTCGGATGTACATAATCCGGCCAGGCCAAGATGAAGTTCAGACACTTCCCGTCCAGTTTAGATCGTACCATGAGCGATTATAGGATACAAATAATTCTGACTAGGACAGAACAAACTTTTTACAACTCCATCTGTCCAAGTTCAATCTATTAGTGAAAATATTTACTGCACTTCAGCTGCACTCTCCTATTCACCACTTAGAGGGATGTGTGTAGAGGAAGATTTCATTGGAGCCAGCCGGTGTATGCACCAAGCCACTTATTCAGGTATGAAATCCATATTTTTAAAGATTTCGCAGTGTTTATACTTCAGGCTGAAGGAGAAAGCAGAGCTTATCAGCCTTATGACTGCGGAGAATGCTTCAGCCTTGTTCGCATGGGTGCGGGTTGGTTGCTAGGCACAGCTTCTTCACCTATTCCCTCAGGTTTCTTCTTTGCAGTCGGGACTCTAGCGCAAGTGCTACCTTTTTTTACTCCGTTGTAAATATTTGTCTTCCATGAAAGCTTCCTGTCCAGGATCACATCCAAATACATTAACTTGTCAAAGCGTACAAATGCAACTCAACCGATCGAGAAAAGTTGGGAATTTCCTGTTTTGCACTTCCCGGAGATACCTGAGAATTACGTAGGTATTGATTGCAGTGCACCAAGCTGTCTCCCAGAAAGGGCCTACAAATTTTAATAAAACTTCTCCTCATCAATCTTTAAGCTGTACCCTTGATGAGAGCTACTCGAATTGAGAGCTCTCTTAGCTCTTAGCTCTTAAACTTAAAATCTTTTTCTCCAGGTTCTGAAGTTTTAATTCTCTTGTTTAATCTCGGATTCATATCTTGGCAAATATCTTTTAGAATTTATCCTTCACCATTATTTTCATGACTTCTAACAAACCTCAAAGCAGTAATAAACCCTCAATCGCTGTCATCTCCAAGGAGACATTCAACCTCTTTGATTACTAACCGCACACTAACAGCAACGCAGTTGCGTAATTAACAAAATAGCTCGCAGTCAAATATGCGCTAAACGTTGTCCACACGAGGACACGCTACCAAGTTTCCGCCAATTATGTATGTATGGCACACTTTCAAATACACAGGTCCATACAAGCACATGCATGCATACACGCGAAGGCACTTCACAACGCACAATGCATGTATGCATGTATGTAATACTCTTTGTCGCACGTCCACCTTCGTCGAGGGTCAGCGGTAAAGGACATACTGCCAATTTAGCCGAAAAAGGATTGGCAACAACAGCAAAATAGTGAAATTGCACAGCTGCTTTGGGATCAGTGTTACAGCGCAAGCCGAAGCGAGCAAAAAAACTGCGCCGCTCCGGTGACCAAAAACGAGACGCCATGCATGCATCTGGTGGTGTACAAATGCATGTGACATGGTCATCCTTTGTGGTTTCAGGTATACCTATTATGGTCGTCACTAGACTTTCACTTTCATCCTTTTCATTTTGTGCAGCGCCAAATGTATGTTTGTATGCATTAAACGAAGCAAGAGAGAAGCGGATAGGAGAATATAGCGAGTTAAAGTACGGTCGATAAGCCGCTTAAAAATCCATTAAATGCTAAAAGCCATTTGAATGGCCAATGCCTCGTTAGTCGCGCGCAACTACCTCTTTCAACTGGCAATTTTTTAAAGCGCAATCAACATTTTCCAAGTACACACACACACACATACACAAACTTACTCTTCCATCCACGCGCTTTTTCTCTCGCTTTCACTCACACGCGACAACAATTGATTTACTTTTATCGATTAATTTCTACTGAATTCACACACTCGCTCACTCACTCTACTCTCAAGCCTATTAATAATTCTCACACAAAAGTTTTTGTTTCTCTTCCTTCATCTAGCCGACAAAACGGATGAGAAATTCCACAGACGCGCCTCGGTTAAAATGGGCGTACGCGTCATCTATCGCACCGATGTGTATAATCATGGCAATGGTCCGGAGAATTTTGCTGCACTCATCAATAGTCAGGGCGCCTCACCGCCTCTAACCGCTGCTCTAACCTCACCGCCAGCCGCACTCACTAATACTGGCTTACCCTTGGTGCACACACAAAATGGCAACACTACACCTGCCTTGTCGTCGGCACTGGGTGGCAGTTGTAGCGCCGATAGTAATGCCAGTTTTGATGGTAGCGGTAGTGGTGGTGGTGGTGGTGGTGGCGGTGGCGGTGTTGCGGTTCTTGCATCCACCAACGCTGGCAGCGATCGCGTAACACCAACACAGCCAACTACACAGAGTCATGCCAAGCCAAAGAAGTCGGAGCGCGGTGATTCGTTTCCTAAGTTGCGTCTCTCGCCGAAATCGTTTCGCTTCAGCGGTCGCTTTGGACGCAGTAAAAGCGAAATTGAGAAATGTCCCAATGATCCGTTCTACAACTATAGTAAATCATTTCAGGAGGTGAGTAGAAAAAAGGAGCAAAAATATTAAGTAGTCATATGATAAAGGTGTTGCGAAAAGAGAGCAGATATTAGCTAAGTCATTGGGTTCCATAAATACTTACTATCGCTTTAGTTGACAGAATCTGAGCGCGAAAAAATACGCCTTTCTCTCTTTAGGTATCTTTTCATATAGTTTGTAGCTTACTTTACTATGGCTTCACACAGCCTGCTCGGGGATTGAAGCACTGCCTTTTCTGATCTGATTCGTAGACTCTTTACCACAAGTGGTAGACAACTTTTGTTTTGATAAGTTGGTAGATTGGAAAGACTTTTCGGATGTTTCGACCACTTTCAGATATGCAATTACTTTTACAATGCAAGCCTAATCTAAGACAGCAATCCGATAGTCTGAAAGTCTTTTGTCTCAGGGTTTCCAGAGATGGGTATAATATTCTTAGTTTCTACTGAAATCACACACTCTGAAAGTCTTTTGTCTCAGAGTTTCCAGAAATGGGTATAATATTCTTAGTTTCTCCGTGAGTGAGGCTAAAGTTATTTACGTAAAGTGATGGAAGCTAAGAAGAAATATGCTGACGAAGGTGGAGATAATGATAGAGTTATTAGAAATATCATCGCCAATATTTTTGATGGAGCCAAGTGAACAGTGACGTGGGTGCCAAGGCGCGAGTGTGCTTACTGTTTCTTTGATGACAGGAGATATATCGTTTTATCCCCGTTTACCACCAGACCCATTCGCTTTGCTTCCAAATCCAACTTGGAAAAAACAGCACATACTTCGCGGTTTTTGTTACCGATGATGTTGATGCCACGCCAGCATTTGCCCAACATCAGGTTAAAGAAGTCGCATGAAAGGGAGTCGCCATGTCTAACACCCCGTTTGGTGGCGAACGGCGCGGAGAGGTCTTTCCCAATTCTGACGGAGCTGGTGGTATTGCTCAACGTCATTTTACGCAGCCGTATCAGTTTGGCTGGGATGTAAAATTCAGACATAGCGGCGTATAGGCAACCCTTTTTAGTTCTGTCGAAAGCGGCTTTAAAATCTACAAATAGGTGGTGAGTGTGAATCCTTTTCTCGTGGGTCTTTGCCAAGATTTGGCGTATTGTGAAAAGCTTGTCAATGTGGATTTCTGTATTCCGTTGCTGGAGAGGTATTCAGCAGACCGCCCTTTTTAGATAACTCGTAAACTCCTTCGTTACCTTCAACAACGTTTCGTTCTGAGACCCAATATAGGTGAATAGATTTGTCATGGCTAACCTCCCTAACTATTACCCCCTTTAATTCTGTAACGGTCTTCGAGTAGTTAGTATATTAGAGAAAAGCCTTAATGGCTGCCTGAGTGTTAATATGAAAATAGAACCGCTTAGCCGATAGGACCTCTGCCGCTTTTAATTCAGCTTGAAAAATACTGTAGTGTCCCGGTAGGTTAAATGGCCTGCAATATTTCCGCTTCAAAGCGGTAAACTAGCTATCCTTCGTCTGCTTTGGAAACTTAGGTGTAAATATGCGTCGCATGATTTTTCATATCCACACTCTTGCGACAACCATCTATTTCCATTGTAGCTCCCAAAGGCCTTTCGAAACTCAGCTGGGCGATCACATAGTGTATTCATACTACTAACTTAGTTAGTTTAAGATCTTGGTCTAGCCCAGAAGGGATTTTTCTCTACTTCATCACATTGTGGACTATTTGGGAGCAAACTGATCATCTTACTAGTAATTTTTGGAAGGAAGCGACTGCAAACACCCATACCTCTTCTACCTATAACACATTTTAACGAGTGCTTTTTTCGTGGAACATTCTCACGCTCTAAATAATGTACCATTTAAGCTCAGTACAATAGCAGTTAAAGGGTTAAAATATATTGTGACTGAAGACGAAAAACTCATCCCGCCAATTTTCGAGTAGTGTCATTGAAGCTTAGATCTTTAACTCCTTTGATTATGAGTCTTTTTAACGCTGTTTCGAATCAGTTTATTAAAAATAGCTGTTATAGGGTTAAACGTACAGCACAGACTTTACCAAGAGTCACCCCAGAAGGAGTGTGGGGTACTGTCTACAAAATATTGCTAAGGCGAATTTTTTTCTGCATTGCTTACTCTACGAAACGGGTTCTGAAGATACGTCTCACTAGCAAAGTCAGACGATGAGATAATGCAATTAAACCAATCTGTTCAGATTGGCAGCCATCTCAGCATGTAAGACTCCTTCCGCTTAATTTTCCCTAATTTTATTGGCCCATTGACCTTGCCGCTTGCTTATAAATCGCCACAAATAAAAATTTCGAGTAAGTGTAATAAACCAATTAACTGTCTGGAACATAATTTCGCGTGTTTTTTTTTTGTAAAAAAAAAGTTATGCTTTTCGCTCATAAAATACTCGTAAAGCAAAACACTCAAAATAATTGCAACTGCTAAAGCAATAAATTTTAAATTGGCTATAAAAATACTAATAAGTTTTGCGGCATTAAGAGAAATATCTTTAGACTGCTTAGGAGAGGCGGGAGAAAAGAACGTGGGATACGCGAATGCAGTCAAGAAGTAGCAGTTTTTTTGGGCCTTACCTTACCTTAAAAAATTTTCGCAGATTCAGTGGCGTCAAGTTAAAGTAAGTACTTAGTTCTAGTGACAATAGTCATATAGTATTTGCTTCAGCACACCACAAATATATGTTTAGTTGTAAACAAAGAGAAAGAAAAATGTTGTAGAATTTATCAAACAAAATGCCAGCAAAAAAAGCCCACAGGCAGGAGTAGAGAGCGCCAGCAAAAATGTCAATCAACATGGAATTGAGTCAATATTTGCTGACGGTAGAATGGCAGTCAATAAAAAGCAAACCGTACGACAGACAGACAGGCCAACAGCAATATTTATCTATTGTCAGCAAATATTAACTTACCATTGTTCCGGCAGAGGGGCCAGTAACTATGTAAGTAATAGTGGTAGCATGGGACAAATTGAAAAATGAGAGCTTATAAATACTAAATAAACGACAAGTGAGACACACTGACTAATAACTTGGCAACTAATCGAATTTCCGTTTCCGTTCTTTCTTTCTTTCATTCCGCCATGTGCCGTTATTTCAAAAAAAACAATGGAAACAACAACCACACCAACTTCAAACTTGCAAATCCCGCAATCAACCCGACAATGCGACGATGGAACGTTGACTGCCCTGCTTGCATCACATTCATCCGCTGTCAACTGCATCATCAACATCGCCTTCCATCGTTGTCATCGCACCATCTGGCTCGCTTTCATCTTTGTGTCTGCTTTAATCAACTCTCCCTCTCCGCCCCGTAGTACGATTGCACTGCTGTGGGCAATGTAGCCGCACCACTTTCTGCCTCGCCTGGTGGCGTCGGTTGCGCATTTGGCGGTGTGATTGGCGGTAATGCGGCTACTGCCATGGCTGGTGCGCTTAGCGGCGGCGGTGGACCACAGGGTGCGGTGGACAAACCATTTTTGCTGCAGGATGGACGTGTCGGCTTGCGAGCGAGTCTCGATAAGGCTTGGTATACACATGGCGAGGATGTCTGTGTGACGGTGAATATAAAGAATGATAGCCGCAAGACAGTGCGAAAAGTACGGGTGAGTACCTTTCCATTATGAAGAGTAGTAAAAGAGTGTAACGAATATGATGGGAAGGGTAGCAGTGTAAAGGGGAAGGAAAAATACGCGCGTAATTTGAGCGCTAAATTTTCCAGCTAATTTCTGCCTTCAGCACTTATTTGCTTGTTATATCCGCTATAATGGGATATTTTGATGGTGCAACGAAAGTGCTTGCTGCAGCGAAATTAAGTTGAAATTCCACCGCATTAATCCTTTTTTACCTTCCTTTTATTAGCTCGGGGTGTAACTATGTAATATTGATGCGCCTAAAAGATGCAGCGATGACAGTACGAATGGCAATTATAATAGGGAGGTTTTAGTTTTTTAAACTATAATTTTATTTTAACTAAGTTGAGGGGAAATTTTTATTTGCATAGTGAGTGGCAAATGTGATTTGGAAGTCTGTCGGCATTGCTGCCATTTAAGTTTTAATTTTAAAACTTTTTAGCCACTACTATTTTGAACCTAAATATTTCCTTCTATTAGTTTTTGAAAAAATTAGAGTACATATCATACTGATTTATGCACAATATAAGAGTTTCTACCATAAAAAATCGGCCAAGTTTTAATCTAAAAAATTTTTGCTACTACTATTTTAACTATTTAAAAGGGGTTAGGGAATTTACTGCTTCGAGGATTAAACATTTACACAGTTATAATTTTGCTACAATTTTTCTACTACTATTTCTACTACTTTTTGAAAAGGGTTCCAGGATTGTCTATAAAGTGGATCTAGCATTTTAACTCTTGCCAGTTTAATTAAAAACTCCCTTTTGTTACTACTATTTCTTGAAAAGGGTCACATGAGTATTTCTTAACATTTGAAATGTACTCAGGGCATGAATCACGTATGACGACAATCGTCTGAACGATATCGTGTTGCTTCATGAAAACCAAAAATTGTTTGATCGTTTGTGCGATATTGTCAACTCGATTCTAGTTTTGCTTCACGTAATAGTAACAGTAACACCTAACAGCAACACAAATGCATAAATCAGTGTTTTTACGAGGTTGTTTTGTCAATATCGGTTGGACGACTATCGTTTTAAAGTTACGTGATTCATGCCCAGTTTTCATTTAAATATTATTTATATCGAAAGGGGTCACAGTATTACCTGTTAGGTTCTTCGAAAATTTAAAATTTACGCAGTTTTAATCGAAGCAATTTTGCTACTACTACTGCTCTTAAACTATTTCTACTACTTTTCGGAAAAGATCCCAGATTTTTCTACTACATATGTAAGGGCTTCTAACATTACTGCTTTATTTGAGAAATGCATCTACGACTATTCTACTATTTTTTTAAAAATATACTTTAAGTTAGTGTTTTTATTGTTATATTTTTGTCACAACTTATACAAATTTTCTACCATTTCGAAAATATTCTTAGTACGTATACTTAGGTTGCCCTTTCCTATTTCTACAACTTTTTAGAGACTATTTTACTAATTTGCGTGCTTGTTTCTATTCCTACGTTTACACTTATTTTTTCAAATTTTTTTCTACTCTTACTCTCACTTTCTTCGCGGATTGTTAAAATTATTGGCCCATTTTTTTACTAGTCTATCTATTACACCCATACTTTCTACCACTACATATTAGCTTTTCTCCTCTCTTTCAAAATTGTACAACTTAATTTCTTCGAATGTAGTATTAGGTATGTAGTTTAAGTGGAACTTAATTTTTTACAACTTCTTCTACTACTTTTTTCTACTACTATTTTTTACACTTTTTAAGCAATCATTTAATTTATTAATTTTTGTAATGGCATTTTCGCAAGTTATTTTCTACTTTTTAAACAAAGTAGTTTTTTATTTTAAACAAGTTGATTATAGTTTTGATTAAGCTATTTTTTCTACATCAGAGTAAGTGTTAACTAATCATATGCATATTTTTAGTACATTTTCTACTACGCTTTCGAAAAACATAAAATTACCATTACATTTAGATATGCATATTTTATAAAATTCGTTGAAGATCTATTTTTTCCACCAATTTCCAGTAGCTATCTACATATACATAAGTAATTTTTTAATTGATACTTTCCCTAGCTCTCCAATCACCTCTGCGTCTACTACCAATTTCAAGCGGGACATTTACTAGTTGAGGAAAATTTTACTACCCAAATTTATGCAATAATTCATCTTTAGCTTTTATGAGCTTTTTCGCTGCTATTAAAATCTTAAATTTTTACTACTTTCCTCCCACCTGCAAAGATTATTTGTTCATCAAACTGAAACTCCTAAACTTGTGCTTCTTACGTCTAACTGTCTGCACATATCCTATAGTTCCGTTTGCCACTAACTATTCGGCTGCCGTTTGCAGTTTCAGCAAAACTTTTCATCACTTTTCCCGTATCTTTACGTTTTAGTTGTTGTTGGTTGACTCTTTAGAAAATTCCCTCAGTCTTTATTTAAGTCATTTTACCGATTAAACTTTTTGAGTTTACGCTGTTGGCTGTCGAGATAATCGCATTAGGAAAATTATTTAAATTTATTTTGAGCGAAGTTTGCTGAAATATTTATGCAGAAACGAGGAGTCTGCTGAAAATTTATGATGCAAATTAAATAATTTTAGAAGACACTATTTAATTTTGCAATAATTTAATACAAAAGCCACAACTTAACTCAGTCAGCTGTGCAAATTATTGAGTTTTTGAAATGCTCATTTTCTTGTTTTTACCAATTCAGGCGTTGTATCAAATACGCTGTTATTTTATATCCAACATTTTACTCCATCCACTGCCAATTTTCAATTTCCTTCGACAACCACTTGCAATTGTCAATGGAAAGCTTTGATGCATGTCTTACTTCAGTCATTCCCCTTTTACTGCTATTTTCTTTTCTTTCTAAGTATAAGACTTGCAACAATGCAAACTGTTCAACTTACGACGAGTATTCTTTGTTTTCTTTTCTGTTACATTTTCATACTTGTGTTCGTACTTAAGTTACATACTTAGTGCACAATTGCCAACTTCAAGAAAGCAAAAATATCGAACTGTACAAAGATAACTAAGTACACTTCAGGCCAACAAAAAAGCAAAATTGTTGAATTTAGCAAAGAAAGAGAGAGTGGGCAAGAGAGAAAATCGAGCAGCGGGTAAGGATGTAACGGTATCATATACAAAACTGGACATGCTTTTTTAGCCATTCGAAATTTGGACATATTTTTTTTTTCATTAAAAATTTATTTTATTTAAAAACTAAATATAAATTTTTGGTTATATCAAAGCTGGATGGAAATTTTTAGCTGTTGAAAAAATTTATATAATTTTTTGGCAATTAAAGAACTGGGCATAAATTTGTTGTACTTTAAGAAGAGAGCTATTTAAAATTGTTGACCATTCCACAATTACGTACAAACTTTTGCTGTTAAAAAGCTGGACATGATTTTTTTGTTAATTAAAAACTGGACATAAATTTGTTAATAATTTAAAAAATTAGAATTTTAGCCTTTTGAAAAAGAAGTAATAAAAAAAAAAATGGTCGTTTAACAACAAGACATATATTTCTGACCTTTTAAAAACTGAGCATAAAATTTTGGTGTATTAAAAGCTGGGTGGAAGTTTTTACTCACTGAAAAATTGGAGTTAAATTTTTGGCAATTAAAAAATTGGACATAAATCTTTCTGCCTTAATAAGGTTTTTGGTAATTTAAAAGCTGGTGGAGGAGGTTTACCCACCGAAAATTGTTACTTAAACTTTTGGCAATAAAAAAGTTGGACATATATTTTTGCTAACTTAAGAAGGTAGCTACAATTACGGATGACTTATCAATCGGTACAAAGTTTTGGACCTTAAAAAGTTGGACATGAATTTTAGCTTAATTAAAAACTGAACATAAGATTTTGGTAATTTAAAAATTGGGCAACGTTTAAAAAGTTTACAATCGGTCTGATTTAATAAAAAATTAGCCATTTAAGAACAGGCTGCATGCCATTTAAAAACTGAACATAAATTTCTTGTTATTAAAAGCTCTATGGAAATTTTTGACATCTGTAAAATTTTCTTCAAATTTTGGAAATTAAAAAACTGTACATAAATGTTTGCCAATTAAAGAAAAGATCTCAAATATGTGGTCATTGAACAACTGGTTACTTTTGGTCATTAAAAAGCTGGACATAAATTTGTGATTAATAAAAACCTGGACATATACTTTCAGTAATTAAAAAATTTTACAAAAATATTAGTCTTTTTACTACCGCAGCCTTTTTAAACAATTTGGCCGGTAATAACAAGGCATAAATTATTGGCGATTTAAAAGGATGACCTAAATTTAAGTTTTTTCTCATTTTAAAACTGAATATTTTTGAAATTTATGAAGAGCATTTAACTAGGAAAAAAATTGTTGGTTATTAAAAGCTGCACATGAATTTTTGGTTAGGTATTTTTTTAGTGATTTTAAATGTTGGCAAAACTTTGACCCATTCAGAAATCGCCAAAATGTTTGGTTATTTAAAAGCTCGCCATAAACTTCTTGCCATTAGCGACAAAACATAAATTTTAATATTCATACGCGGACATAAATTTGTATGCTATTTAAAACCTAGATATAAATTTTTGATAGTTAAAGGAAAGGCTCATAGATCTGGCCTTTCGGCAACTATATAGGGAAACATTTCCAGTCATTAAAAACTAGACATGCCTTTTTGTTCAACTAAAACTGCACCCAAATTGTTTAATAATTCCAGATATGTGTTAATTAATTATTTACTTATTTTTTATGATTTACAAGCTGAACATAAATTGCTGTCCATTTAAAAGCCGGACATATATATTCGGTAATGTAAGAAACGGATTAAAGTTTTTGGCTTTTTAATTATAAGGCTTAAATATATGGCCCTCAGAAATCGGAACATGAATTTTTGTTCAATTCAAAACTGGACATAAAATTTTGGTAGTTTAAGAGTCAGACAAAAAATGTTGTCTCTTTAGTCTTTAGATGACATTTGGTCAATCAAAAGCCGGACATAAATTATC